TAAAATGAGTTATAGTTTTCCCCCCCATTATCCAAACATTTGTTTAATTAGACATGTTAATTTACAAAAACTTTTTTCTAGAGTAATCAAAATAAGTGACTAATTAATCCACTGCTAATATAGTTAATAGCTGCGGCCCTAATTGCAACTGCTAAACAGCCTTCATCAGGGTGTAACATCTTTTGGCTGCTTCTTTTTGCATAATATCTTAAACACCGCATTTTCTTTTTTTTTTTTTTTTACTAAAGACATAACTTTTGTGTTTAAAGAGGAGCAAGAGAAAGGAGCCGATATAAAAGCCTGCAGTGTCAAGTATGGAAGACTAAATAAAACTTGAATCTTTAGACAAATTTTGATACAAATAAGCATTAATACTTTTTTATGCATGTCAGTTACTTGAATATTGTTGATTTTGATGAAGTTAAACATAAGTGCAAAGCTAGTAACATAGATACTCCACGAGAAGTTTTTTCTCGCCTTTACAGCAAAACAATGTCATTTTGATCCCGCAGCTCAGTTTTGGGAGCTTTCGCTGATTTTTCTCGCCACAACTTGTGGCCAGATTTTTTTTTTCTTGCAGCAAGGCTGGAACTAATCATTATCGATTAATGTGTCAATTATATTTTCGATTAACCAATAATCAGATAGCACAAGGTTCCCTGAAAATGATGAAACTAAACCAGGTGAAACTAAAACTTTTCCACTTGTGGTATTCTGGATGAAGCATATCGACAGACGATATGCTTATCAAAGATGCTTAATTTCTGTAAAATCTTGGTATAAGTACTGCTCTAAGTGAGTGGCTCTGTCAGCTAAAGGCATGTGTTAGAGTCTATATTCCAGTAAACAATTAAGCAATGACTAAATTAGTTGACGATTATTTCAATAATCGATTAATCTGATTGTTTCATCCGTAGTTCCACAATAGCTGTGTGATTGGTAAGAGTTCAGAAGGAAGTCGAGTAGGAAAAGTGGAGATTTGTTTCATGGCCTTTTGTGAGTGAAATGTAAGCTAAATCGGAAAAAAATAGCTAAATAGGAAATGGAACCAGCCAATGCAAAACACCTGCTGAAAGAATTAAACCCATATCTTATTACGATAATGAAAAACAGAAAAGTGAGAGTCTGTAGAGAAATGCCCAACTGCTACCACATCTGTTAATATGGGCCACAGCCCACACCTCTGTCCACAAAATGAACCAGCTCTTATGTCCTGGAACAGAAAATAAAATTTATATAACTATATATGCTAGATTAATGCCATTTTCCTTATTTTTTTGCATTAGTATTACCCAAAAAAGATTACAAAGAAACTAAAAATGGATAATAAACTACTTGGATATTGTTCCAAATATGGCTGCAACTAACAATTATTTAGCAAAAATTATTAATCTGTCAACTATTTTTGCGATAGCAAAAGTTTCCTTACAGATGACCATTCGTGAAATTAAACCAGGTGAAGCTAAAACTTTTCCACTTTAAGAGTTCTGGAAGAGCATATTGACAGACAAAAAAGATTTTTATCATAAATGCAAAATGTTTGCGTATTTTATTTTATTTATTTTTTACAATTTGGTATAACTGCTGTCCAAGATGGGTTGCTCTGTCAGTTAAAGACACCTTTTAGAGTCTCTACACTCCGGTTAACGATTAATCAATTACTAAATTAGTTGACGATTATTACAACAATCGATTAATCCAATAAATTGTTTCAGCCATAATTCTAACCATTTGCTGACTTTGCTTTTTAGCTTCTGAGTAAAACATGCATGATTTTCTTTTTGGTAACAAGCAACATTAGTTAAAGAAATCCTGATTAAATGACACCAAGCAAAAAGTTTGTAAACATGCCCGCTCATTGAAAACGTTTTCCCCGAAGTCTACACTCAAGATTGCCCTTTGTATTCTAAAATCCCTCAACCTGTTAATGATAATTTATCCACAGAGAACAAAAGTTTAATAGTAACATCAGATGTTATTTTTTTTTTAAAGTTGGGGGTTTTATAACTAACATTTTCTCAATCTGTAGTTGAGTAGAAAAGAGTCATGTTTAGGCAGCTGTTAAAAAAAGTGATTATAATATAATTTCCCTTATTCGGTAAAAGGCTGTTTGGACATATTTCCAGACAGGATATGATGTGCTGTTATGGTTAAACCATTCTTAAACTACAATTGGCAAGCTTTAAGAGATGTCTTTCTATCACCAGACAATTATAGGCTCAAACCAAGCAACAAGCCCCACTTAGAAATCACCTAATATAGTCTAATAATAATTGCAGCGAAGTCTGATTAATAATATCTGCATCACACGGTTTCTCATATTGTCAGACTTTAGCAAAACATCAAAAAATGATTTTCTCAACAGCGAAAAATTAAACACTACCCGATAAACTTAAGGATGTTTATTCTAAATCAAAACCAATAACAAACTGTTTAATGGAGCATCATTATAAACACAATAACCATTTCATGTTAACATTTCTTTAAATAAACCACATTTGCAAGAATCAAAAATAGTCTCATACTGACTTTGTCTAACTATCGGTCAAACGCAACTCCAAATCTAACAGCATACTAAATGTTATAATAGGAACATGTTTAAAATCAATGACCTGCCAGCACTGTACCATCACTTATGCCAACATCTAGATCTTGAACAGTAAGAATCAGAATTAACTATAAGCTTTATAAACCCACTGGTTAGTGAAGAAAATGCAGGTTTGCCAAACCAGTCAACTGAATCTGATGCAGACCACATTAGATTTTCTGAACACATTTCTACCAGCTACTACAGAGAACATAAATAAAAACAGATGGATTTAAATGTGTTAACTTTGGGTCTGCTTCCAAAGTTGACATTTCTGTTCTTCAGGTTCCCAAATTAGCTGACTGGCACATCAACAGCGTGGTCTGCTGCTAATCAGCATAGGCTAATAACAAAGCCCCTTTATGCAGAGAGAGGAAGTGATGAGAGTGATCCAAACAATGGCATAAAAACAGCTCCACCCATAACCCCGTGTTTTGTCCAGCTCCAACATGACAACTCACTTGAGCTGCAGGCCTCTAGCTCCTCCTGTGGTCTGTGATGTGTCCCTTCTCCACTGTTCATGTCCCCCAGACACGGTCCAGCTCGGTGAAACAACCTTCCTGCCAGCTTGTGAATAACAGACATCCTAAAAGGCCACAGAAGGCAAACCGACAGCCTTTGTAGCGTTACGTCCCAGCAGTATGTCCAGATCTTTTACTAAACTACAAACCCACAAGATAAAAAAAAATAAAAAAATAAAACATGTAAAGGTTACAAACTTTCAATAAGCCTTACTGGCTGTGTATAGTCTATAGAACCGGAGAGGTGATGGCCGACTGTGCAAAGCCTGGGCTGGACCTTCCTTACTCCTTCACTTCCTGCCGCAGCTCAGTCTGTCCGCCCTGCTTCTTCCTGTGGGCCAGAAATTAGCCCTCTATACAAGCGCAGTTCCTCACTATACTTTTGTTTTTCCGTCCGTCGGTGTCAGAGAACACGCACCTGAAAAAATCCTCCACAAACACTTTCCTTTTCCCATAGAAACCAAAATGTCCTGCCATGTTGTGTCTAATCGCTGGCTGCTCTGTGGAAAAAATGACACCTCTGGGTGTGTGGCTCTAAAATCCCTGGTCTGCACCTGTCTCTGGAGATCAGGGTGGACCAACAACAATCAGGCTGATAAGAATGCGAAGCATGAGATATAGTCAAACCTGAAACGACCACCTCCTCTGTCCTTCCAATAATTAATTTCATCCCTACAAAAAAAAGAAAAAACAACAGAAACTGTGTTCTATTCTAAATCATTCAATCATAAATACAAAACAATTTGCAAACTATGATATCCAAAGGGTCTGAAGTCACAGAGACTGGGGCTCACACCCACACTCTAGCAGTAACAAGTAGCTGATGATCATTTCACAGCTCCACGTTCAGATTTTGCACACTAAGAGACTATTACTGCTGTTATAAAGAAGCAGATAAAAGGTTACCCTTCTGTAATTCTGTACGCCTGATGAGATAAAAAAAAAAAAAAGTTTAGATCAGTTCTTAAAAACAACCTTTAGATAACTTGTAATAACACTGCATGATGATAAAACTTTGTTCAAGTCACAGAGAACAAAAGCATAAAACAATTGCTCCAGATCAGGGCAGAATGTAAACCCAGAAAACACAGGCGACACATACAGGCACCCTTGTATCAAACTGCCCTCATCACATGGTGTTCAAGAGACTCTTCAACTCCTAAGTTTCTGCCTGGAGTAGATCATCATCATGCATCATATGACTCAGCCCTGGTATCTCTTATTTCTTTGAACTATTAACAAACAACTCAATATTCAATTTGCAACTCACTAAATGCTAATTAAATAACTTCACCTTAATGACAGACCTTTGTGAAACGTTCTACATCTGAATTCTGATGCATATGTATTCTTGTTGCAAAGTGGTGACTTGGAAAAAAGATCTGCAAACCATAAACCTCAAGAAAACCTATGACTTTTCCACAGATCTTGCTGCTGTTGTAACCACTGGTACCTCTGAACATAACCTGGGGCTTAAGATCACGAGCTTTCCCACAGGATGAGACTGAATAGCAGCTACTGCTGATGACTGTGATCCAAATATTTGGCCTGACTTTGCGTGTGAGTGAATGAGATAATCTAAAATCCTGCATTATTTATCAATTATTAGCCCATAAACTGCTGTCATGTCGAGAGAGCATGGCAGTAAATGGTTAAACCCAAAACTATTTACACTTATTTGATACATAAAATGCTGTTTGTATATGCTTGGATTTTATTAACCATATTTTTTGTATAATCAGAAACAATATTGTTTTTATTTCAGGTAGTAACCATGATCAGAAACATAACCATGGCCAACTCAATGAAAACAAATCATATCAAGTTATAAATAGCCACTACTACATTATGCAATTATATTATTTTGCTGCTGTCAAACTGGGTGTACTCACCACTTTCCATTTCATTGCCTTTCTTCGCGGTGGGCGTGTTGCCCATGATTGCAGCCTGATAGTGGTGCCTCTCGGTCCGATTGACTCTCTCTGAAAAGTCGCTTGGTTCTAGTAATCCACTAAGGAAGTCGTTGAACTCGACGAAGCTGTCAGCTAGCTATACTAGCTGGTGGTTAGCATTATTAAAAACGAATGCAGTGGAAAATTATTCTTTTCGCGTTTCTTCGTTCAGTTGTGAGTACGAAAAAAAAAAAACTCCAGTCAGAAGACCGTCGCCAATCCTGGAGCTAAAACTGACTGCTGGTTAGCTAAGCTCGCGAAGATAGCAAGCAGATATCAGCTTACTGACGTTAGCTCAAAGAATTCCAACAGAGCGCCGACGAATCCTGCAGTTGTCAATCTGCTTCTCCTTTATTCCACAGGCGGTTCGGTCTTCTCCAATATCCGGTTCCGATGCAAATCGTCGAAATGTGTTTTTATGTGTTTTTTTTTTAAACTAGCAAGCTGACATTAGCATTTAGCGTTCCTTGCAGTCAGATCCTGGCCTTAACGAACCAGGTGCTGTCTCGGGCCTTGGATTGACAGAATTTGTTTCTGGTTAACCCGTTTTTTTCAACAGTCGGTTATTTTAACTGATATGTTTCCATTCGTCCCTTGACAAGCCGTGAAGTGCAACAACAAAATCCTGCGACCGACCACCTGATAGTCGATTCTCCGGATCAACAGACCTCTTCCATTAATCTTCAGACCGCAAGGGAAACTCCAGTCACCCATCCATCCATCTGGTCCCGCCTCTTCTCGTTTCTGATTCGCTGATACTCAAAAATGTCCATGACGAATGACACAGAGAAAGCTCTTATTGGATGAGCAGGAGTGTAACAAAACATTGCATTGATGCGATTGGTTCCTTGAAGCCAATGTCCCACCCTCCTGACTTGTCACTAACCATTACGCATGTGCGTGTATTTTTGGCTTTAAACTATAAAATACTAGCCTTACACCGATACAATTAGGCAGAGAACAACAGTTACATTCTTCACAGTTCAATGATTGTTTCAGTTATACTGATATTTCAGCTAGTTTACACGGCCAATGTAACTGGGCGTGACGTTAACACGGGCTATTTTTAGTAAAATGTGACAATACGAAGAGAACACAGCTGGCACTTTAGTTCAAATCAGATGTATAAATTCTGAATACAGAAAATAACATTTGCCTGCAAGTGAAAAAAAAGAGCCTGGCACAGAAAGATAAAAAAATTATTATTTTTTTATTCGTAATATAAGACTGCAATCAGGTATTTTAAATCAAATCAATTAATGTCGGGACAAGATAAGCATAAAAAAAAATCTGTGCAGCTGTATCATTTTATTGCATGGTTTTACATAATCACATCTTTATAAAGAACAATGATTCCATTTAGATGTTCATAATCTAATCACATCTTTATATCATTTCAGCCTCATTAGAATGTATAAAGGCAGGTCATTTGCTTTGGGTTTTTACATTTTTGATATCTATAAGTAATCCATAGATTATCTGGTAGTATGCCTACAAGTAGAGCCTTTCCTGGCTGACAGGATGGGGGCAGCATGGAGTCTGAAGTAGGATCCACATTTCCAGTCTTTCTATCTTCCTGTGCAGCTTTTCCAATTAAGGGTGGACAATTTTAGAATAATTCTCTGGAACTTGAACGAGAGTTACTGGGGTCAAGCAAACAAATCGGGCTTTTGGTATCAGTGGTTAGATAATATAAGTTATGCTGTTATAAAGGATGTTAAATATATGCAACTGCCTGGATTTAGCACAGCCAGGATAGTGTTCTGTTGACCGCACAGAATGTGAAACAAGACAATTTGGAAGGAACCTAAGTGTTTAAAAAAACATTGAAAGACAAACATGTCTTTACTTTCCTCCCTCCAGATGTCCTCTGCATCTAGTTTATGTTTTTGCAACAGATCAGTTGAGACATTAATTTGTGGTAATTTAATTGGTTTCCAGTATAGGGGCCAACGGACACAGAACTAATGTCAACTCACTTTACTGTACTGAACAGATAAAAAAACAAAAAACGTTTTATCTTTTTTTTTTGTTGTATCAAAGGTTGATTCATTTTTTTATATTTCTGTAACCAACATTCATTATTTTCTATAGCTTTAATGTAAGTTGACAGCACAAATGTCAAACCACATCACATGACTGGAAATCCCTTTAATGTAATTGTAATTTTTTTTCTTCATTAATTCCTATTCCTATTGTAAATTTAATGTTTCTTTTATTAGCTTTTAGATAAGGTGGTTATTTGTCAGAAAACTGATATTAAATCACATTCTTTAAATAGAAATAAAAAGGTGCCATCTGAGTGCCTTCTTGTGGAGAAGAATAGTACTACTGACACAGCTCTGATTCTAAAAGTTACTTGTTTAAAAAGTATAAAATATTGCAAACTAAAATCTTTGTTTAGCACAGTTTATATAAATTAGCATGGGCTTTAAATCTATTGCGGTTATTGGGTGACTGGAGTTTAAATTACGTGGATAAGAAAAATTAGGACAGCGCACGGCACAAAATAAGAAAAAAAACAAACATGAATGTTTGTCATTACTTACCTTTTATCAATAATCACTCTGCATAAAATGGATATTTACAAGTACTAATATCTACATATATTGATTATTTAATAAGTTTTTATTAAAATAGTTATCTATGATTTGACTGAAGACTCCTAGATGACTTGCAGACACACCCTTCTCTCTTTACCCCATATAAAACAAAATCTAGTTCTGAAAAGTGGACAAATTCCATACTTATCGTCTTTAATGTTAGTATATTGATGTGCATGATTAACCACAGTGTTTTTGTTGTCAAGTTATTGTTAATATATGAAAAATTAAAATGTTCTGAATATTCCACTTTAGAGTATTGCTGCTGTCACCATCTGTATTAGAGGGAAAAAAAATGGAAGGGGTGGCCACAGGGGTGGCAAATGATTGGCTAAGGGTGGCCATGGGCCCCCATCGAGCTGCGCTCCTTCTTTTAACCTGCCCTGCTGCCAACAAACACCTTACTATAGACATTATTAATGTTAAGTTTCAGAAAGAGTAGATTTTCTGTTAACTTAACTTCGCTCTTCACCCAAAGATCCTTAAGGAATAATTTATTCATCTCTAATGTATCGCACCTAGTGAAGAAATAAGACGTTGATGCTTTCGGTATTACACCATATGCTTTACATTATGGGTCCAAATATCTGTACATACCTGTATGACATCCATATTCTGCCTGAATATAGCACTATATCAATGTCCTGGTTGTCACATTGGGAGTTTTGATTTAGTCCTAATACTTTGGTAAACCTTTTGGCTCAGAGCTTCAATCTTGGTCAGGATTCAGTTCTGCCCAATGCAGCTGGATGCAGTTTTGGTCTCAGTTTTAAACTGAATTTCTTTTAATTTATCCCGACCAAAAAAAAAATGGCAAAAAAATCGGGGGACTGATCACCTGATGATCCAATTCTGTCTTTATGAAAATGGTTTCTGTAAGGAAAAAAAAATCTGAAAAAAATAACTCTGGTTTCCAAGGGAATATGAAGAAAACAGCCACACACAGAAATATAACAATGTTTTTCTATTTGTAACAAAACTGCAATCTGGAAATGCACCAAAAAGACAAGGTGATACAGTTCTTACAAAGCTTTTCCTAAACAAAAAAGAAATTCTAATTTTTTAAGTGCAATTCATGAGAAATATTATTAAATTACCAAAACTCGAAATGCATGTTGATGTTTACAATACTTCAGCGCAGTAACATCAAATCAGTTACAAATCAACTCTGCAACCAGAACCTGTGGGCAAGTTATACGCAGCTGTTAAATTTAGTGCCGCTGTATCATTTTTCTTTGCCGTTTGTTTTTCACACTTTAAAGTTGTCACATTATCACAAGAACTCCACCTTCATAAAGAATAATGATTCCATTAGGATGTTCACACTTAAATGGAATAAACACAGATTGCGAGTCCTTTTTTTTGCCACAGTCAACCTTAAAAATAAGGTAATTTGCTTTGAGTCCTCGCTTTTGGAGAATCTCTATAAGCAATCCATAGAGTTATCTGGTAGTATGCCCACAGGAGGGGCCTTGCCTGGTAAACAGGATGGGGGCAGCATGGAGCTTGACGTAGGATCCACGTTTTCAGAGTCTTCCATTTTCTCTGCGCAGCCTTCCCAGTTTATGTGGAATCTCGTTACACGTGGGTTTGAAGCTAGAATATTTCTCTGAAGCTGAAAATATAAAACAAAGCAAACAAGAGAAACTGTTATGATAGAGCAGTAAAGTTGACTGCATATATGGTTAAGTTTTATGTGTAATCCTCGCAGATTAGAATAAAAAAATGTCAAGAAAAGTTAAAATTTTGGGCTTCATGAGATTTTTTTTAAAGCCACAACAAAAAGGAGGACAAGGACATCTCTGCACCTCATCGCCACATGAACCTGACTCAATGACAGTAGCATTTTTGGTCAACCACACACCAGAGAAGGAAACCACCAGCAAACAGAAATGCCACCCTGGTAAGACCATTTTTCTTAGTTTTTTTTTTTTGTACATAGAAAGTTATTTTAACCCCAATATAATGTTTTAATGTTATTTTGATTGCTTGTTATTGACATTTGTTGTCTCCTAATGTGTTTTTTTGTTTGTTAATCGCAGGCACCGGTGACACACCAGAGGGTAATACATGGCGTGCATGTAGGGCTGCTGCAGCAGAGTTTTTTGATAAAAAGGAAAATAAAAGAAGGTATGGTGCTAGAAGGATTCTAGAAGAAGACTCACCTGTGTGTAGTCCGGCTTAATTGGAGGGTTTTCTCGAAGCTCTGGGTCTGTGTATTCATTGTTCACATAGTAACCAATGCGAATAAACTCCTGGCCACGATATGTGCATGTAATGAGAACTACAGTTACGCCAACAGCATCACTTTCAGGAATCAAACCAGTGTTTGGGGCATCAGCCTGTCAACAGAAACCAAAAAAAAAATCTTAGAAAGGCTAAGTAAATAGTAACATTTAGAGTACTTGTAACATTGAACGCACCTGAAACACAAACATGTGTCTCCCAGCAGGTACAGGACCAACTAAAACAGAGTCCAGGATTTGGTCGTACTCCTCACTCTCTGCTGAACCAACATAAATGATCTTCCATTCCAGGTCTAATAAAAGACATAAAATACCATTAGGAATTAATAAAGTGGAGTACAACACATGGATGTGAGGTTAAATTTAAGGCGGTTGTTCACCTTTAGGCATAAAGAGTAAAAAAAAAAAAATTATTGATTAAAGAAGCATGAGGCTTAGTTTCCACACATGGGCTAACAGATACCACACCCTGACCTCATGGAGACTCTTTGAGATACGCTGAAGAACATTTTCAGCTCCAACACAAGTTTCCCTAAACATCACTGTAACTCTGGATGGAAATAGATGCGTGTCTGTGTGCGCTTATTAAAACAAGTTAACAGTGAAAGAAAACTTTTAAGGTATCCAATGCCGTCTAAAACTTTTATATGGACCTCTCTTTATTTTATTACAGCTGTAGATAATCATGTAAAAAGTTACATATTTTGTATTTTTGGACCCGACCAGTCTCCACATTGTAGATCATACAGAGACCTTATCATTGTTGGAGCATGGTGTAGCTATCAAAGGAACCAATGAGCCACGGTGTAGGTCTTTAACTGACATGTCCTACTAAGTCTATATAAACAAAAATATATTTGCTGCAGCTGAAAGATCACCAGCTTCCAA